GTACTCCATGCTTGGCGTTCTGCATCCTCCATGACCAGTAACTCTTAGGGAAGTACTCCATGCTGGGCACTGGGATTTCCCTTTAATTACTCATGTCTTCTGAGGAAAGTACTGTGCACCCATTGCTCATCAGCTTATATTTATTTGAGTTATATTTTTGATTAGCTTACAAAATGGTGTGTTCCTTAGGAACTTTCATACATTGTTAGTTTTTGTTAATCCATCACCACCCAGTCCTCTTCCCTATCTCACAACCCCTATCCTCACTTCAACTTTGAATGTCATTTTCATATCACAAATATTCTCCTCTACCCACACCACTTAAGACCCCTTACCCTACCCCTCTCTTGGGTTCATTATACTTTCCTGACCTCTAGAGATACTCTAAATAAGTCTCACATGGTCCCACCTCTAGTTGAAAAGCTACAGGCAATCAATGGAAGCTGAGAGAGGGAGACTCAGTTCTCTCCAGAGATGAGTACCTTGTAGGTTACCAAATTCCAAGAGGTCATCATTAAACACATAACAGCAACACTAAATGGACTCATCAGAATGTGTGTATGTATGTATATATGTATGTATGCATGCATGCATGTATTACCAATCAATAAAGAAGAAAAGGTGATCTTAGTGGGAAAGAGGGGACATAGGAGGAGTTAGAGGGGATAGAGAAGTTAAAGAAGGGTGAAGATGATGTAAATATAGTATAAACATAGAAGATTAGAAAAAATTAACTTAAAGTAAACTTAAAAAAAACAAAGTAAAAATATAAATGTAAATATACCATGCTAATATCCACATATGACAGAGAAAATTTGGCATTTGTCTCCTTAGGCATGGGTTATCTCACTTAGTAGAATATTTCCCATTACTATTCATTTTCTGTAGATTTTTTAAATTGGACTTTTCTTTCTATGTGTATTTTTATGCTGTGGATACATATGTGTATGCATATTTGCATGTGTTGGGCATACATATGTTGGGAGTTGCACTTGTATGTATGTGAATACCCTAAACTGATGTCAAGAATTTTCCTTAGCTGTTCTCCCTCTTTATTCATTAAGACAGAATCTCTCATCATCCATATTCAGAGCTTGTCAATGGAACTAGTCAAGCTAAAGATTTGCTCTGGAGAACACCTGACTCGTCTTACTGAGCCTGAAGTGACAGGTGCCACAATGCACACACAGCGTGTATGTGGGGTCCTAGAATCCAACTGTCCTGATAGCTCTTTAACTTCTGAACCATCTTGCTGCCACGAGGTCTTTTGAAGTGTGACAGAACTGAAGAAGATTTAGATGTGTGCATGGAAGCAGATACATTCCAGCTGAACCTACCCCTTTGCACCTGGGTCAGGCATGGCAGGCAGACCTTGGCCACAGGCATGAGTGGCCAGCCTGCTGCACTCAGGAGATTGTAGTTTTCTTACAAAAGACAACAAGAGAAAATCTATAGACACTTATTTCAGAGTCAAATGACCCCTGAAGCCAGTTTCTCGGGGGCTGATTGTGGGAACTGATGTTATACTCTGTGCTCTACCCAAATTTCCTTCAGCACTTTGGCCAAGGCAGGACAGACAGCTGCCTTGTATTTTGAGAAACCTGCAGATGCTGAGGGATGAACTTGGATTCTGGTCCATGGGGAATTCTCCTGTCTGTCTTGCCTTGAGTTTCTTAAAAAAGAGGCTGAGATGAAATTTATTTTCAGGCCCAAAAGTGGCGAGAAGACTCCTCAGATGCACTGGTTGGAGGAAGGGCGAGTAGGGCAAGATGCGGGAAGCCAGCAAAGTGTGCTGAGTAACAGTGGAGCAGGTTACATCAAGAGCAAATGTGTTCATTTGTTTCTATTGCCAGGACAGAAACCAGCGATTGGGTAACATTTGTTATTCTTGTTCTTTGTTTGATTGACTGACTGGTTGATTGATTGATTGACTGATTAGTGATTGTAGCTCAGGAAGTTTCCAAACTCACTATATAGAAAGCCTGGCTCTGAGTTCCTGATTCTCCTGCCTCTATCTTCTGAGTGAAGAATTACAGGGCTACACCACCATACCCAGGGTTTTATTTTTTGTTTGTTTGTTTGCTTATTTGTTTGTTTAGAATATGTATATTAAATCATAGTTCTGGAGTTGGGGAGTCCAAGTAGAGACTATGACTGTTCAGCTTAAGAAAAAATGGTATACAGGCAGGCAGGTGCCTGCAGGAAAGAAAGGGAATCCTTTCCCCGAAAACAATATTTTTTTTCATTTATTTATTTATTTATTTATTTATTTAAAGTAGAACTTGTGGATGCCTCGCAGCATCTTTTTTTTAAATTTATTTATTTATTAAAGATTTCTGTCCCTTCCCCGCCACCGCCTCCCATTTCCCTCCTCCTCCCCCAAATAAGTCCCCCCCCCAGCCCGAAAAGCAATCAGGGTTCCCTGTCCTGTGGGAAGTCCAAGGAACCCCCACCTCCATCCAGGTCTAGTAAGTTGAGCATCCAAACTGCCTAGGCTCCCACAAAGCCAGTGCGTGCAGTAGGATCAAAAACCCATTGCCATTGTTCTTGAGTTCTCAGTAGTCCTCATTGTCCGCTATGTTCAGAGAGTCCGGTTTTATCCCAGGCTTTTCCAGACCCAGGCCAGCTGGTCTTGGTGAGTTCCCAATAGAACATCCCCATTGTCTCAGTGTGTGGGTGCACCCCTTGCGGTCCTGAGTTCCTTGCTCGTGCTCTCTCTCCTTCTGCTCCTGATTTGGACCTTGAGATTTCAGTCCTGTGCTCCAATGTGGGTCTCTGTCTCTGTCTCCTTTCATCGCTTGCTGAAGGTTAATATTCAGGAGGATGCCTATATGTTTTTCTTTGGGTTCTCCTTATTTAGCTTCTCTAGGATCACTAATTATAGGCTCAATGTCCTTGGTTTATGGCTAGAAACCAAATATGAGTGAGTACATCCCATGTTCCTCTTTTTGGGTCTGGCTTACCTCACTCAGGATAGTGTTTTCTATTTCCATCCATTTGCAAAATTCAAGAAGTCCTTGTTTTTTACTGCGGAGTAGTACTCTAATATGTATATATTCCATACTTTCTTCATCCATTCTTCCATTGAGGGGCATCTAGGTTGTTTCCAGGTTCTGGCTATCACAAACAATGCTGCTATGAACATCGTAGAGCATATACTTTTGTTGTATGATAAGGCCTCTCTTGGGTATATTCCCAAGAGTGGTATTGCTGGGTCCAGGGGTAAGTTGATCCCGAATTTCCTGAGAAACCGCCATAATGCTTTCCAGAGTGGTTGCACAAGTTTGCATTCCCACCAGCAATGGATGAGTGTACCCCTTTCTCCACAACCTCTCCAACAAAGGCTATCATTGGTGTTTTTTATTTTAGCCATTCTGACAGGTGTAAGATGGTATCTTAAAGTTGTCTTGATTTGCATTTCCCTGATCGCTAAGGAGGTTGAGCATGACCTTAAGTGTCTTTTGGCCATTTGAAGTTCTTCTGTTGAGAATTCTCTGTTCAGCTCAATGCCCCATTTTATAATTGGGTTGGTTAGCCTTTTACGGTCTAGTTTCTTGGGATCTTTATATATTTTGGAGATCAGACCTTTGTCAGTTGCGGGGTTGGTGAAGATCTTCTCCCAGTTAGTGGGTTGCCTTTGTGTCTTAGCGACAGTGTCCTTTGCTTTACAGAAGCTTCTCAGTCTCAGGAGGTCCCATTTATTCAATGATGCCCTTAGTGTCTGTGCTGCTGGGGTTATACGTAGGAAGTGGTCTCCTGTGCCCATGTGTTGTAGAGTACTTCCCACTTTCTCTTCTATCAGGTTCAGTGTGTTCGGGCTGATATTGAGGTCTTTAATCCATTTGGACTTGAGTTTTGTGCATGGTGATAGATATGGATCTATTTTCATTCTTCTACAGGTTGACATCCAGTTTTGCCAGAACAATTTGTTGAAGATGCTCTCTTTTTTCCATTGTATACTTTTAGCTCCTTTATCGAAAATCAGGTGTTCATAGGTTTGTGGGTTAATGTCAGGGTCTTCTATTCGATTCCATTGGTCGACTTCTCTGTTTTTATGCCAATACCAAGCTGTTTTCAATACTGTAGCTCTGTAGTAGAGTTTGAAGTCAGGGATGGTAATGCCTCCAGACGCTCCTTTGTTGTATAAGATTCGAAAACAATATTTTTAAACAAAAGAACATTTGTTTAAAAAGTATTGATCAATTAATAAGGGGCCTGTCCCCATGACTACACTAAACCTTTGTCCCCTTACTGCTACATTAGCAACTAAATTTCTACACAAGTTTCAGTGGGGACAAAGGACATCCAAACAGTAGTCACAAACAAGGCTTGTTATTATGAATGATATCTGGAAGGCAGTACAAAATAAGCTTGGGATTGGCAGTACTGGGAACAGGGGCAAGTCTATGTCCTGAAACACACACTCTAAGGCATCCCAAGATCACCTTATCAGACCTAGAATCTCAGAACCTACAGAACAATGTTGTCAGGACTGCAACTGTGGGGCCTGTGCAATCTATCAGGAGCAGACATTGACTCCACTGGCTGTAATCACCCCATCATTCTAAGGCCTACTACAGGAGAGACCACAGCTCCCAAATTCCAGATGGGAACACTGAGCTCTGTGGAGCCGTGGTATCATCACATGGACTGAATGAGGACAAAGCTGTGTCTGTGATCTCACCCTTTATTCTCAGCCATAAGAACAGGTCTGGCACAGAGTAAGACATTGGTAAATACCTGACATGTGGATGAAGGTCACACAGCATTGTTACAGGTGAAGTGAAACTTGAACTAGACTCTTCTATTCTCTAAGCTCAAGTTCTTTGCACTGCACTGTTCAGAATATCCCAGCACCCACAGCCAGTCCGTTGCACAGCTTAGACAGATGCCTAAGCATGTCCAGTTGTATAGATTGGAAAGAAAGAAGATAGAAAGGAATGAAAAAACAAACAACTCTAGTGTGTACACTTATATTCCTTTTTTTCTCCCTTATTTAGGAAGTGTTCCAAAAATATATCAGAACCTTGAAGAAAATGATCTTTATAAGACAGAGACCTTGAAAACAGAGGGCTTGCTCCAAAATTTCACACAGCTAATACTCCTACAAAAATCTTGTCCAAGAGACTGGGAGAGCATAGTCGGAAAAAGCTGGTATCAATGTGTAGCAGAGAAGAGAGGACATCTGATTGAGATCCAAGATTTATTTCGCCCAAACCCAGATACACAGGAAACGCCTCAATTAGTTGTATTACAGGGGGCTGCTGGCATTGGGAAGTCAACACTGGCCAGGCAGGTGAGGAGAGCATGGGAGGAAGATCAGCTCTACAGAGATCGCTTCCAGCATGTCTTCTACTTCAGCTGCAGAGAGCTGGCCCAGTACAAGCAACTGAGTCTGGCTGAGCTCATAGAAAAAGACCAGGCTGTGCCCACAATTCCCACCATGGAGATCCTGTCTCACCCTGAGAAGCTGCTCTTCATCCTAGATGGCATAGATGAGCCAGCTTGGGTCTTGAAAGATCAGAATCCTGAGCTGTGTCTGCACTGGAGTCAGACACAGCCTGTGCACACACTTCTGGCCAGTTTGCTGGGGAAATCTGTCCTGCCTCAGGCTTCCTTGCTGCTCACAGTTCGGACCACAGACCTGAATAAGATCATTCCTTCTTTGGGACAGCCACATTGGGTGGAAGTCCTGGGCTTCTCTGAGTCTGGGCGGAAGGAATATTTCTACAAATATTTTTCAGAAAAAGGAGGAGCGATTAAAGCTTTCAGCTTGGTTTCCTCAGACCCAGTGCTCTCAACACTGTGTGAGGTACCCTGGGTGTCCTGGCTGGTCTGTACTTGTTTGAAGCAGCAGATGGAACAAGGGGGACAACTCTCACTCACCTCAAAGACCACCACAGCCCTCTGCCTGAAATACATTTCCCTGATTCTCCCAGACCATGCCCTACTGACCCAGCTCAGAGGGCTCTGCTCACTGGCTGCTGAGGGGATCTTCAAAAGAAGGACCCTGTTCAGTGAGAGCGATCTCTGTGAACAAAGGTTATCTGGTGATGTCATTGGCACTTTTCTGAAGATTGGAATCCTTCAAAAGCAGCCCAGCTCTCTGAGCTACAGCTTTTCCCACTTGTGTCTCCAGGAGTTCTTTGCAGCAATGTTCTGCATCTTGAGGAATAAGGAGGAGAAACGTGGTGATAGGAAAATATACAGAACTGTGGAAACACTGATAGAAGTGTATGGGAGAGAAGACCTGTTTGAGGCACCCACCATACGCTTCCTGTTTGGCCTGTTGAGTAAACAAAGGGTTAAAGAAATGGAGAAGATCTTCATCACCCGCTTGCCTCTGGACACCGTGTGGGAAATGCTATATAAAGCCAGGGCATTGCCCGAGCACCTGGATCTCTGTTCTCTGGGGTTGTTTCACTCTTTTTATGAGACTCAGAATGAGGGGTTCCTGACACAGGTGATGCGCAATCTTCAAACAATAAAGGTCTGTAACCCAACAGATATGGCTTACCCAGTGTTCCAGACAAATGTGAACCACCTGGTGGTCCAGACAGACGTGGAGCTCATGGTGGTCACTTTCTGTATTAAGTTCTGCCGCCATGTGAAGAGGCTCCAGCTGAGTGGATATGGACAGCAGAGACCAACACTGTTGGCCTCCAGGATGGTTCTGTGAGTATCCAGACACAGCCCTCTCTCCAACTTCTCTGTGGATCCCATAAGCACACGTGTTCTAGGCACCAGCACCACCCTAGGCTGGCTCCAGGACAGCGGGGTACAGGTCACCAGTGGCATCTAACTGCTGAATCTGATCTCCTTTCTCTATTTGCCTCTGTGTGCCTGACTATACAATGGAGCTATAAGCATTTATCTTTCTCTCTGTCTCGGTAAGGACTACCCACCTGCTCTGATTCAAATCTTCACCCTTCACAAGGTTCAAAAGGCCCACAGTTATTGGTTTCACCATGCTTTCTTTCTAAGAAACTGCTCATTCAGCTCCTGCAAGAACCATCCTCTCTCCCCGTGACAGTGACCTTGACGCTGATGTCTTGCCCCATCTCCTCAGAATTCATATGTATGAGAATTCCTATGTTTTCCCTACCCAGTTTGTGTCAATGTAGGCAGTCTAGTCCGGGCACTCAGCATGAAGGCTTCCTAACTTCCTGCCAATCCAGCAGCAAGATAGACCACCCCTTCCAAGATCGCCTACACTGGGCAGAATGCTGACTGGGATCAGTATGTGTCTCTCTCCCTTCCAGATGATTCACTCCAAAGCGCTGTTTTTATGGCTGACCCTAACAATCAATTACAGGGGGAAAAACTGTTCTGAGTATCTCAAAAACTGATAAAAATTCTTCTCTGATTAAATTCATCTCCACCCTTCACAAGGTTCAAATGGCCCACAGTTAGCTGACCCTCTTTCACACCATGCTCTGTCTCTAAAAAACTGCTCATTCAGCTCCTATATGCACCATTCACTATCCCCAGGACAATGACCTTGGCCCTAAGGTCTTCCCACCAACACCTCAGGATGCATACTTGTAAGAGTCCCTATTTTTCTTGCCCAGATGTCTTCCTTGTATGTGTCATGAAGGCAGCATGGCCCTGACACTCAGCCTGAAGGCTTCCTAACTGCCTTCCAATCCCAGCAGCAACACAGACTTTGCCTTCCACAGTGCTGTAGTGGTGACTCAGTACCAGGATGTGTCTCTTTCCTGTCTAGATGACTCACACCCATCAATATTCATTAAGCACTCATTTTATAAAAGGCACAACCAATCAGCTACAGGAAGAAAACTACAAGTACTGCCAAGAGGATCTCAAAAAGTGGAGATAAGGAAGTCAAATATACTAATTACATAGGGCATGACACTTGGAACGACCAGGCACACACCAAGTATCAGGGAGGAAAATGCTCACTCAAGTGAACCAGAAAGGAAAATATTCACAGAGGAGGAGTGTAGTAATAAGGGCGGCGGATATTTTCATTTTGAGTCTTCTGTTTCTACACACTGAAACTTTTCCCAGATAAGCTGAGTTGACTTGTTAGCAAAAGTTTGAAATTCCATTATTCTGGTGGTTAAAACTGGGATATTTCTTGAGTTCTGGCTTTGACACCAACATGAGCAACACAGCAAAAGAGGTGAAAAGCCCACATAAAAAGTAAATGACTTAAAAGTAGTATAGCAACTGTTAGAGAACAGGAAGGGAGTAAAGAGAGAAAAGAAAATGAGTCAGAGAGAGCAGACATGATCAAACTATGTTATACACATATGGGAAGTTGTCTCAATGACTCATTTGATTAGAATGACGTAATTAAAAACCTACTTGTTGTAAAAGAGTAAGGATATATCAATTATCAAAACAAAAAAGTAGCTTTTATAATTCCATGTATCAGGAAGGACAGCCTTAAGAATTGGAGTAGCTGAGCTTGGTCTGGCACATTTGTCCTCCCAAACTCAGAAGGTTGAGGCAAGAAGACCAATATGTCCCAGTATGGCCTGAGCTACCTAGTGTGCGGCTGTCTCAAAATATTACGGGCTAAGAATGTAACTCATCGGTAGAGAGATTGCCTTTGCTGGTTAATTCTCTGTTGCTGTGATAAAGCGTCAAGGTCAAGGCAGCTTACAGAAGAGTTTATTTGGGCTTCTGGTCCCAGAGGGCTCAGGGTCCATCGTGGCAGAAGGAATGGATGTGACTGGAGCCCCAGCTGAGAGCTCATTCTTGAACCACAAGCAGGAAGCAGAAAGAGTGCACTGGGAATGGCTCAAGATTCTGAAGTCTTAAAGCCTGTGCCCTGTAACATACTTCATTCCACAGAGCCACACCCCAGGAGCATTCTTAAATAGTGCCACCAAATGAAGACAAGGCATTCAAATGCCCACGATTCTTGGTCACATCTCATTCAAAACACCACATTTAGGAATCCCAAAACCCTAGATTTTGTACAGAGCATGAGGTAAAGAATTGGAGTATAACTATTAATCCCTTTTCTATATACTTTTCTGCAGTATAACTGAGTCACACAATATATTATATTCATGTTTATTTACTTAATGAATTAAGACTGTCTTCTCTAGTTGCTAAAAGTCTAGTTACCATTCTGAATAGCTCAATAAAAACAGTTAAAAAATAATATTCTCCAGGGAGAACACTTTGGCCAGTTGGACAGTTTTTTCTGTTCTTGGCTATTTAAGGTAGTTACTGTCAATGGTTATAAACAAGTCAGCCTTGGATGACTTTGCTACAGATGTTGCAAGTAGAAAGGTCTTCTAAAGTGGACCTTTAGAAGAATTCTAAGTCGGTACAGAGACAGGCCACATAGCACAAAAGAAACCAGAACACCAGCCTGCTTGGAAAGGACAGTGGCGTTAGGATCCTGGGACAATCCGGTGAGAAAGGAAGAGGCTTTAGCTGCTAGAGAGAAGGGAAAGTTGAAAGGGAAAGTCAGCCAGACAAAGCAGGGGGGCAAGCAGGAGGCCATTGCACACTCGGAAAACATTTCAGGTGTGAAGACTGGCCAAAGCCAAGGGAAGGGAAAGACCAGTCCAGGGAATTAAAGCATCAAAGATTGCAAGGTGAGCACTTTCTGTATGTGGCTCATAATGGCACCTCTTGGTTTTGGAATAATGCATTCTGAAGTTCCACTTTCAGTCAGTGCAAACACTGACCATGCACCCAAACTGCCATCCTTTGACGGCAGGGAGGGGTTCTGTGCTTAAGACCATTGCTGGGCTTGTAGAGGATGTGGATCCATTCCCAGCACCCCATCAGATGGCTCACAACCACCTTTAACTCAGTCCCAGAGGGTCCAAAGCTCTGATTGTATCCTCTGCGGGATTCTGCATGCACAGAGCACACACAGACAGGCAGGAATACAAATGTACACATAAAGTAAAAAATAAGTAAATTCTTTTAAAATCCACCAGCTTTCAAAGTTTAGTATTTTATTTCCTTGACAACTCTTTGGTTCTATGAAACTGGAATGAAATATTTTATAGTTTTTGTTCCAGTTAATGTTGGTCACTTTTCATCTGTGTTTCTGGAGTTGTGGTTTTTGAGTTGTTATTTTGTTTTATTTGTAGAGTTTGGGACAGAATGTTGCACAGGCCAGGCTTGAGCTGCTCCCAGCCCCTTCAGGTTTGTAGCTTAGGCTGGCCTAGAACTCACCACTTTCCTGACTTCATATGCTTGCTTTTTACATTAAAGGAATTCACTACCACTCTAAGCTGATCTCTCTCTCTCTCTCTCTCTCTCCCTCCCTCCCTCCCTCCCTCCCTCCCTCTCTCCTCATTCTCTGTCCCTTCTCTGTAGTTTTCTAGTCCTGTAAAGATATAGGGACCATGTGAACCAGCACGCCTGTGGTGTTTTTGATCATGCTCAACATCCCATCACAGGCATGCTCAGTTACCTCTGCTGAGCTCTCTTCCCATCTCCCCATTCCAGGTTATCTTTACGAAACTCTAGACTTCTGTTCCAAAGGAAATCAGGTATATTCACATCAGAAGGAAGAAGGCTTTGTGCCAGGCATTGTACTGGGCATTCTAGAGTAAAAAGAAAAGACACCAGTTACCTGTTCACACCCTGTAGGACACCTAGACTAGTCAGACACAGACACACAAAATGAGCAGACAGCATGCTATGTTAAGGATATAGATGAGGAACCACCCAGAAGAGAGGATCAAGATGCTGGAACAAAGGAGGAGGTAGAAGCTGGTGAATTCTAGGGGTGGCATGTTGAGGCCTGGTGCTCAGGCAGATAGGAGCCTAACCTGCTGTGTAGGGCTGTGCACATCAGACCATGCATACACAAGTTACATCCCTCATTTCTTCTCCCCACCCCCGCCATATCTCTCTCATTCAGGTCGAGGTGGATCCCTTTCACAGATACCAGTTGGCAGATTCTCTTCTCCACTCTTGAGATCACAGGAAGCCTGGAGAAGCTGGACCTAAGTGGAAATCCAATGAGCTCCTTGACACTGTGGAGACTTTGTAAGACCCTGAGATGCCCTGGATGTCACCTAAAGACATTGTGGTGAGTCAGACCTTGGTTCTTCCCTGAAGCACAGATGGGTTGAATGGAGACCAAATGCAAAACCTGAGTCTAGGGTGAGGCCTGGTATTCATCAAATATTCGCCAAGCTTTCTTGACCACCCCTGTGACAGATGCCAGATTAGCTATGATAAACAAATGGGGTTCTGTTCTTAGAGATCATGAGAGACTGACATGCAGCAAGGAACCTCACTACCAACCAACCCATGAGGTCATGAATGGAGCAAACTTTCTGAGAAAGGGATCAGGAGAGTTGCAGAACACAGAGACAAAGTGAAGCAGGAGGACAGAAAACTCCAGGCCCAAGGAATGTCAGCCCCCATTTCCTCCTGCTCTCTGTCCTTGCAACCACCTTCTACTCCGTTTCTATGGACTCCATCTTTACTAAGATTCCACATGAGCAGTGAGATTATGCTCCAGTGAATAATCTCCAGTGAGATTATTCACCAGTCTATGGCTGGTGAATGTCACTTCCGATGGCTCTTGAAATAGACCGTGAGCTATTAGACATAAAGCAAAGGATAACCAACCTACAACCCACAACCTCAGAAGACCTAGACAATAAAGCAAACCCTAAGAGAGACATATTTAGGAAGGAGAAAAAAAAGACAAGATCTCCTGAGTAAACTGGAAGTGTGGAGGAGGCATGGTAATGGTATAAGGGGAGAGGGGAGAAAGGAAGAAGAGTAGGAAAAATGTCTAGCTTAATTAAAAAAAATTTAAAAATTTGTAAAAAATGAAATAGAGCAGGTCTGAGGCAGCAAACTCCACAGGAGCAACCACCAAGAGAGCAGGCTCAAGTCACAGACCTCTGCGGAACTGGGTCCAAGTCAGGACCTCTGAGGGAGCAGATCTGAGTCAGTAACCTTCACTGGAGAAGGCCTGAGTCAGTGACCTCCACCTGAGCAGGCCCAAGACAGCAGCCTCCACAGGAACAGGTACAAGGGAGAAACCGCCGTGGGAGCAGGCCAAAGACAGACACTTTTGTGGGACCTGGCCCAACACAGGGACCTCTGCAAAAAGAGGCTGGACCAGCCACCACCCTGGGAGCAGACATGAACAATCTCTGGGATTTCAGAGGAACCCTTGGGAGCACTGAGCAACCTTCAGGGGTGCCTGGAACCATGGCCCTGACTACACCACAAGGAGCAACCATCTGAACCTTAGGTCCACTAGCACCTGGAAGACTGATCAACAGAGACACAGCCCCAACTGCACCAATCAGAGGAAAAGGTGGGTAGACAAGGTAAGAACACACTCAACACCACAAAGAACAACACAACACCAACAAAAACTAGTGGCTCTACAACTGCAAGACATGAACACCCCAAAATAGATGAAGCAGAGGACAATGACCTACAAAATAACTTTAGGAGAATGTTTGAGACCCTTAAAGAGGAAATTAAAAATTCCCTCAAAGAAATGGAGGAAATGACAAATAAAAAAATTGGAAGAAATCAACAAATCCCTTAAAGAAAATTAAGAAAAGCAATCAAACAGATGAAAGAAACTATTCAAGACTTAAAAACTGAAATGAAAAAAAAAGGAAACACAATCCAAAGGAATTTTGGAAACAGAAAATATGAAAAAATGATCAGGAACCACAAATGTGAAAAAAAGGGTGGAGTCAGGAAGACACCAGAAGTCGCCAGAGAAGCAAGATGTGAGGTAACAAGCCATGAGCCTTATTGCAAAATATAGAATAATAAAAATGGTTTAAGTGGTAAGACCTAGCTAATAATAAGCCTGAGCTAATAGACCAAACAGTTTGTAATTAATATTAAGCCTCAGCGTGGTTATTAGGGAACTGGTGCGCAGGAGAGAAACCCCAAATTGCAGGTAGTTGAGCTGTAAAGAAAAAAAAAGATGGAATATCATGAGAGGAGCATCTTTAGAGAAACATCATAAGAGAATATAGAAAGGAAACCATCAGGAAAGTGTATAAGTGTCTCCTCCAAACCCTTCAGATAGAAAAGTCTTTGGGCATTGACTCCTGGATTTTTTTCCCCAATACCCTGTGCAGTCTATGAGTTGACTGTTCTCTAGACTGCAGTATAGGTGTCCCACAGGGTGTGAACAGGTGGCTAGTATCTTTTCTTTTTCATCTAGAGTACTCAGCACAGGCCCTGGGACAAAGGAGGGACCTTGGTAATTCAGACAGCCTCTTCCATTTGATGTGAATGTACCTGCTTTCATTTGGAGCAGAATTCAAGAGTCTCATAAAGTAAAACTGGAAAGAGGAGATGGGAAGAGAGCTCAGGAGAGGTGGTTGAGAATGATTCTGTGGTGGGAGGTTAAGCATGGTCATAAACTCTACAGATGTGCTGGTTCACATGTCACATATCTCTCCAAGAGAAAGGGGAGAGGAGAGATAGATATATAAATAGGTAGATAGATAGATAGATAGATAGATAGATAGATAGATAGATAGATAGATGATAGATGGGAAGATAGAGACAGGAAGAGACAGAGACACACAAAGACGTAAATTTATAGACACACACACAGAGACAGAGACAGACAGACAGGCAGAGAGAGAAGGGGGAGAGAATATACATGACCCTGAATGGTAAGGCATTCCTTTAATGTCAGTAACCAATCATACAAAGGCAGGTGAACCATGAATTTTGAACCAGCCTAACTTACAAACTGCAAGGAGCTGTGAGTAGCTAAGAATCCGGTGTGTGCAGAATTTCATCACTAACACTGTAAACTAAACAAGCTAACAAATTCAAAATAAAACCACAAGTCTCAAAACACAGATTAAAGATGACCAACTTGACTGAAACAGAAAGTATAGGATGTTTCCTTTTTGCATTTACAAAACCAAAGAATGCTAAGAAAACCAAACACTAAAATCTAAAGGATTGTGTTTTTTTTAAAAAGTTTAATGAATTAATTAATTTTGATTTTTTTGAGACAGAATTTCTCTGTGTAAATAGCTGTCCTGGAATATTCCCTTTGTAGACCAAGCAGACCTCCAACTCACAAGAGATCCTCTTTCCTCTATCATCCAAGTGCTGGAATTAAAGGCATGCATCACCACGGCCTGGCTATTTATATTTTACTTTATGTAATTGAATGTAAATGACCTCCAAAATCTCATAGGGAGTGGCACTATTAAAAGGTGTGGCTTTGTTTGAGTGTATGCTACATTGTTGGAGGAAGTGTGTCACTGTGGGGGAAGGCTGTGAGGTCTCCTTGGCTCAGGATACCCCTGAAGGTATCAGTCAACTTGCTATGGCCAGCATATAAAGATATAGCCTGCACCACATCTGCCTGCACACTCCATCCCCACCCTGATGATAATGAACTGAATCTCTGAAACTGTTAGCAAGCCTTCTGTATTAACTGTTTTCCTTATTAGAGTTGCCATGTCTGGATGCAAGCCCAGAGTACTATAACTACTGGACAGGTCTGCCAGACGGAAACTTTACAGAGAAATAAGGAAACAGATGTTATGACTCAAATGGATTTAACAGACATCTATAGAATATTCCATCCAAACAGAAAAAAATATACCTTCTTCTCAGCACCTCATGAAACCTTCTCAAAAACTGACCACATATTAGGTAACAAAACAAACCTTAACAGATACAAAAATTAGAATAACCCTATGTATCTTATCATGTCACGATGGCTTAAAATTAGAATTCAACAGCAATACTAATTTCAGAAAGACCACAACACATGGAAATTAAACAATGCTCACCTGAATCATAAATGGGTCAAGGAAGAAAGAAAGGGAGAAATTAAAGACTTCCTAAAATTTATTGAAAATGACCACATAACACACCCAAATTTATGGGACACGTTGAAAGCAGCGTTAAGGGGAAAGTTCATAGCACTAAATGCCTACATAAAGAAGTTAGAAAAATCCCACACTAATGAGTTAACAAAACACCTGAAAACTCTAAAACAAAAAAAGCAAATTCACCCAGGAAGAGTAGAAGGCAGGAAATAATCAAATTGAGAGCTGAAGTCAACAAAATAGAAACAAAGAAAACAATACAAAGAATCAATGAGACAAAGAGTTGGTTCTTTGAGATCAACTAAATAGGGAAAGCTTTATCCAAACTAACCAAAAAGCAGAGAAAGAATATCTAAGTTTAAAGCCGGGCGGTGGTGGCGCACGCCTTTAATCCCAGCACTCGGGAGGCAGAGGCAGGCGGATCTCTATGAGTTCGAGACCAGCCTGGTCTACAAGAGCTAGTTCCAGGACAGGCTCCAAAACCACAGAGAAACCCTGTCTCGAAAAACCAAAAAAAAAAAAAAAAAGAATATCTAAGTTTAAAAAAAAATCAGAAATTAAAAGAGAGATATAACACCAGAGATGGAGAAAGTTCAAAGAATCATCAGGTCTTATTTCGAAAACCTGTACTCCACAAAATTGGAAAACTTAAAGGAAATGAACAATTGTCTGGATAAATATCACTTGCCAATATTAAATCAAGACCAGAAAAGCAAATTAAATAGATCTATAACTGCTAAAGAAGTAGAAACAGTCATTAAAAGTTTCCCAAGCAAAAAAACCCAGGACCAGATCTCAGCTCAGAATTCTACAAGATTTTCAAAGAAGAACTAATACCAATGCTCCTCAAATTGTTCTGCACAATAGAAGCAGAAGGAACATTGCCAAACTATTTTTATGAGGCTACAATTACCCTGATACCCAAACCACACAAAGACATTACTAAGAAAGAGAATTACAGACCAATCTCACTCATGAGCACTGATGCGAAAATACTCAATAAAATAATGGCTAACTGAACCCAAGAACACATCAGAAAAATCGTTCTCCATGATCAAATCAGCTTCATCCCAGAGATGCTGGGATGGTTCAACATAAAAAAATCTGTCAATGTAATCCACCATATAAACAAAATGGAAAAAAAAAACACACGATCACCTCATTAGATGCTGAAAAAGCCTTCAACAAAATACAACATCCCTTCATGATAAAGGTCTTGGAGAGAGCAGGGATACAAGGAACATACCTAAGCATAATAAAGGCGAAATTCAGCAAGCCAACAGAAAACATTAAACCAAATGGAGAAAAACTCAAAGAAATTCCACTGAAATAAGGAAAAAGACAATGTGTCCACTCTCTCCATATCTATTAAATGTAGACCTTGAGGCTCTAGCTAGAGCAATAAGACACTAAAAAGAGATCAAGGGGTTACAAATCAGAAAAGAAGTCAAACACTTACTTTTTGCTGATGATATGATAGTTTACATAAGTGACCCCAAAAATTCTACCAAGGAACTTCAACCACTCATAAACACCTTCAGTAATGTAGCAGGATACAAGATTACATTGAAAAAACTCAATAGCCCCACTTTACACAAATGATAAATGGGCTGAGAAAGAAATCAGAGAAACATCACCCTTGCCAATAGCCACTAATAGCATAAAATATTTTGGAGTAATCAAATGAGTAGAAGACTTGTACGACAAGAACTTTAAATCTTTGAAGAAGGAAATTGAAGAAGACACCAGAAAATGGAAAGATCTTCCATGCTTTTGGGTAGGTGGAATTAACATAATAAAAAAGCAATCTTACCAAAAACAATCTACAGATTCAATATGATGCCCAGCAAAATTCTTCATAGACCTCGAAAGAACAGTACTCAACTTCATATGGAAAAGCAAAAAACCCAGGAGAGCCCAAAGAATCCTACACAATAAAGGAACTTCTGGAGGCATCACAGTCCCTAACTTCAAACTCTACTACAGAGCTTCAGTACTGAAAACAAACTGGTATTGGCAGAAAAACAGACAGGAGGACCAATGGAATCAAATTGAAGACCCGGATATTAATCCATACACCTTCAAACACCCACCTGATTTTTGAAAAAGAAGCAAAAAATATCAAATGGGAAAAAAGAAAACATATTTAACAAATGGTGTTGGCATAACTGGATATCAACATGTAGAAGAATGAAAATAGATCCATATCTATCATCATGTACAAAACTCATCCAAATGGATCAAAGACCACAACATAAAACCAATCACACTGAACCTCATAGAAGAGAAAGTGGAAATTACACTTAACTCATTGGCACAGGAGACTTCTTCCTAAATATAAATCCAGTAGCACAGACACTGAGAAGAACAATTAATAAATGGGACTCTTGAAACTGAAAAGCTTCTGTTTAAAAACAAAAAAAAAAAAAGGACATAGTCAACAAGACAGAACGGCAGCTTACAGTATGAGAAAAGACCTTCATCAACCCCACATCAGACAGAGGTCTGATCTCCAAAATATGCTAAGAACTCAAGAAATTGGTCATCAAAAGAACACATAATCCAATTAAAAAAAATGGGGTACAGACCTAAACAGAGAACTCTCAACAGAGGAATCTAAAATGGCTGAAAGACACTTAAGGAAATGTTCAACATCTTAGCCATCAGAGAAATGCAAATCAAAACAACTCTGAGATTCCATCTTACACCTGAAAGAATGGCCAAGATCAAAAACACTGATGACAACTTATGCTGGAGAGGATGTGGGGTAAAGGGAACACTTCTCCATCACTTGTGGGAGTGCAAACAGGTACAGCCACTTTGGATCATCAATCAATATGGTGGTTTCTTAGAAAATTAGGAAACAAACTTCCTCAAGACCCAGCAATACCCCTTTTGGGTATATATCCAAAGGATGCTCAATCATACCACAAAGACATGTGTTCAACTATGTTCATAGCAGCATTGTTTGTCATAACCAGAACCTGGAAACAACCTAAATGCCCCTCGACCAAAGAATGGATAAGGAAAACATGGTGCATTTACATAATTGGATACTACACAGCAGAAAAAAATAATGAGATACTGAATTTTGTAGATGAATCTAGAAAACATCATATTGAATGAGGTAACCCAGACTGAGAAGATAAATATAATATGTACTCACTCATAAGTGGCTCTTAGACATAAAGCAAAGAAAAACCAGCCTACAGTTCACAATCCCAGATAACCTAGATAACAAAAAGGACCCTAAGAGAGATATACATAGATCTAATGTACATGGGAAGTAGAAAAAGACAAGATCTCCTGAGTAAATTGGGAGTATGGGGATCATGAGAGAGGGCAGAAGTGGAGAGGAGAGGAAGGAACAGGAGCAGATATATATATATATATATATATATATATATATATATATATATATCAATAAAAACAATTAAAAAATGAAATATACCGGTGAGCTGTCCTGAGCCTTGTGGAGCTCTGCCTTGGCCAGTCACAGCAGAGCAGTGGTCCCCAACCTGTATTACACTGCTCCTGCTGCTCAGCTGTGGGAAACATGGAGTTACACACCCGGACTAGACAGGGCATTCCAGAGAGCTAAGCACTGCTAACACCGCGTGCCAGGGCTCACAAAGGGAGACCTGAGCTCAGTTCCCAAGAGCAGTGAGCTCTGGAGAAGCTGATGGTGAGCATCTCCCATGCAGGCTTGTCAACTGTGGCCTCACATCCAGCCACTGTGAGGACCTGGCCTCAGTGCTCAGTGCCAGCTCCAACCTGACTGAGCTAGACCTGCAGCTGAATGACCTGGGAGACAGTGGTGTGAGGCTGCTGTGTGAGGGGCTCAGGAGTCCTGCCTGCAACATCAGAATCCTGCGGTAAGTAAGACCCCAGTATTCCCTCTGGGCTGGAGGCAGGGGAAAGGACACAGGTGCATTACTAGATGACAAGACATCGAAAAGAAAAGGGACAGATAATGTACAGTCAACCTGACTCCTGTCCAGCTGTGTCTCATACACCGTGACTTGGGCAAGTGACATTCTTCTCTAAAACTCAATGCCATACCCACCTCATGGATTGCAATGACACAAAATGTGCATATGTACCAGGTAGGGAGCTGGGCACAGTGGAATCGTATGTATTAGCAAGGCTGTATATCCTGGAAGACTCCCAGGGTTGCCTTACTCCAGGACAATGCTTCAGTCATTTATTCATTCAAGGATCCATGCATGCATCCTTATCAGGGCCCCTGTGTGCCAAGCACTGGTCCAGACCCTAGACATACAATCACAAACACACATGGCTCTGTCCTGCTGAAGCTGGGTGGAAAGAGACAGACATAGATCACCCGTCAGCAGGTGACTGTGTTGACAGGCTCTGCTGAATGCCGTGGACTCACAGTATTGTAAGATTGTCATGCTGTGAGAGGTGCGACTTTATTGAATGCCCACGAGGGTTGTCTGAGGCCTGAAGGAGAAATAGGACTTGGTTGGGCCAAGCTGAGACCAGACAAAGGCGGCAGAGTTGGGGAAAACTCTAGAACAGAAAGAGCCTGGAGGCCTGGAGGGTCAGCAGCTTTCACTACAGGAGCCTGAGATAATTCTCTGTACCAGAAACAGAGCCATTCCCCCTGAACTGAGTTTCACACAAGCTAGGCAAGTCTCCAAACTACAGCCCTGGAGACCCTCCTTCTCCACACAGCCCCTTCATGTTGTCTCTAAGCTTCTCCCTCCCCAGCACAAGCCCACAGCCAGCTTCTGGAGAACTTCCCAGAGGTTTCTGGCCAGTGCCCTTCATGGCCTCAGAGATCCACAGAGATCTGACCCCTGTACCCAGAGCCTTCTGGTTCTTCCAGCCAACAGGAGAAGTTCAGAAGTCCTGTTCCCTGGGACTTCCCTGTCAGGTCTTCTGCTCCAACTCTATTATTGCTTTTATTATTATTATTATTATTATTATTATTATTATTATTATGTTAATTACTTTGTTTGTTTATGTCTGTGGTTCTCAACCTTCCTAATGCTGTGACACTTTAATACAGCTCCTCGTGTTTTGGTGACCAAAAACCATAAAAATTTTTCTTCATTACTCCATAAATGTAATTTTGCTACTGTTATGAATTGCAATAAATATCTGATATTTCCAGTAATCTAGGCAACTTCTGAGAGGATTATTCAACACCCACACACACAAATCACAGCGCACAGTCTGAGAACCGCTGTTTTATGTGGGTGCAGGTGGCCCCAGAGACCAGAGGAGTCAAAATCCCCCAGAACTGGAGTTAAAGGTGGATATGAACTGTATGAAGTGGGTTCTGGGAATTGAACTCAGGTCCTCTGAAGGAGTAGTACATGCTCTTACCCACTGAGCCTTCTCTCCAGCTCTCTGGTTCAATTTTGAGCACACAGGAGCAGCTGGACAGTGAAGAGTCTTCCTCCACCTCTCTGGGAGCTGAAACTTACACAGCTGCTTGTCACCTTTGTTCCGCAGCCTGCTTTCAGCCCTGACAGTTTGTCACAAGGTGAAGAGCCTGTCCAGAGCTGGCCTCTGCTGCACCTGACAAGGCACAGCCTCTCACAGGTGCAGGAACCTTTCCCTCCTGCCTTGTCTGTGCCTCACAGTGGGCAGATGGGAATGATGGGTCTGTGTTATGGACTGAGGATGTGGAAACCCAAAGAGGGACACTACCCCAACTCCCAGAAATCCTGCAACTTGAAGATCATAAGAATGCAACCAGCAGAACTCAGATTGTGACTGCTGTGTGAGGACAAGGCTTCCTTCGTCAGCACAAAAGGAAATGGGGAGGGAGGCGAGAAGGGAACCAAAGTTCTTTCCATCCAGGTACACCCATGATCCCAGCACTATGTGTTTACTTTGAAGAGCTGCCCAGAATCCCTTTGGGGATATGACCGTGACATCTAGTCACTGAGAATTCTGATGGCTACTTGCTGCTCTTTGCCTACATAAGTGCCCTCATCTCCGGCCATGTTCCCCTCCCTGAGACAGTCTGTTTCCAATGACTGGTATGCGGGGGAGGTATATAAGTGTATAAGTGGTAAGACCCTTACTTCAGCTCTGCAAAGTTCCAAGGTCCTCATCCTGAATTCAGCACACTGACCAACCCCACTGAGACTGTATTGAGGACGCATCTCCCTCTGCTCAGCCTGCTGCTCTCCATCCTTTTTCCTGGATTTCACTCAAAAATAAGCTTACTAAGGCTCCTCACTGGCTCTACAGGCAACAGAGTCCAGAGTCCTGGACTCTGAGGCCTCATGATCCTGTGGTGGATCCCACAAGAAATAGCCTCCTCTTTTGCTTGCAGGCTGGACCAGGCCTTTCTCAGTGACCAAGTGATGAAGGAGCTCTGGGTCCTGAAGGCAGAGAATCCACGCCTGTTCATCTCCAGCATATGGTAAGGGGTAGACACAGAGCTCCTACTGGTCAACCCAGGCCCTATGTGCCTGCTCCAGTGTTGAGAGGTGGGAAAACTATCCTGAGGTGATGGGAAAGACAAACAGAGCCAGGAAGAAACCAAGAACCACAACAACCAAAATGAGGTGTGAGTAGGGTGTGTGTGTCTGTCTGTCTGTGTGTGTGTTACAGTTGTATGAGTTTAAAAAAATAGGATTATATAACATGCCTTCTTAATTTCTTCAATCAGGATATAATAATATAAGAAGCTGAGGGAGTGGTGACTCCTCAAGCCCTACAAGTGTGATGATAGTAGATAATAGTAGCCAGCAGTGAACCCAGGCCACAGGAACAATGAAAGCAGTCACCACACTGAGGAGAGAAAGACACAGACAGAAAGACTCTCAGAGAAAAAAAAAAACCTATGTATATCACTATCCCAATCCCAATATTCAAACACGTGCACACACATGAGCACACAGACACACAGACACACACACACACACACACACACACACACACTGTACTATGGGAGGGAGGGGAAGCCATAGAACAGGAGAGTCATCTTCCATTCGAGAGACTGCTAAAGCCCCACATTCTCCTAGTTTAGTCAATATCTGTTCCCAAGGTCGCAGCTGCTATGACACACATGAAATGGAGGGGGACTAAAGGCTTAGAGGGTCAGACATTCATTGAGCAGACATTCCTGTAGACCTACTGCACATCATGCACTATTGTGGGATGTGAGGGTAGATCAGTGAATAAGGTAGACATGAACTCTGTCTAGAAGGAAGGAGACGCTTGTTCTCCCATAGCCCACACAATTGTACCTGGGACCTTATGAGAGTCATGGTGGTCCTTATGACCTCATCCAAAACTGAAATGAGCAGAGGTGGACTCTCAAAAATGGGAAATGAGGGATGAGTAAAAAAGGAAAAAAAAATCATGCAGACACAGAGGGTTTTGTAACATTTTAAATATGTATTTATTAGACCATAAACAAATCACCTCCTACCTCTCAGACACTGACACAGGCTTGAGAGGCAATCTCATATACAATAAGTTTACTAATCTACCAATCACAAAACCTGTTGAGAAACCACCAAGGTCAATCTTCACAGTCACTCGGGATGGACGGGAATGTGATGAAAGGAAGCGTACACAAAGGAAGAAATAAAGACTCAGAAAAGTGAACTGTTCCCCAGGTCTCATACAACTAAAAGGTAGAAGGTACCTGAGTCCCTCACTAACATCAGGACCCCAGGACTCTGTTTTTTTAATTTTATTGATTTTTATTGAGCTCTACATTTTTCTCTGCTCCCCCCACACACACACCTCTCTCCTCCCCTTCAACCCTCTCCCAAGGTCCCCATGCTCCCAATTTACTCAGGAGATCTTGTCTTTTTCTAAGTCCCATGTAGATTAGATCTATGTATGATTCTCTTAGGGTTCTCATTGTTGTCTAGGTTCTCTGGGATTGTAATTTGTAGGGTGGTTTTCATTACTTTATGATTAAAAATCACTATTAGTGAGTACATGTGATAATTGTCTTTCTGGGTCTGGGTTACATCACTCAAAATGATGTTTTCTAGCTCCATCCATTTGCCTAAAAAATTCAAGATGTCGTTAGTTTTTTTTCTGCTGTGTAGTACTCCATTGTGTAAATGTACCACATTTTCCTTATCCATTCTTCAGTCAAGGGGCATTAAGGTTGTTTCCAGGTTCTGGCTATGACAAACAAAGCTGCTATGAACATAGTTGAGTCATTTCCTTGTGGCACTATTGAATATCCTTTGGATGTATACCCAAAAGTGGTATTACTGGAAGAAAGTTGTTTCTTAATTTTCTGAGAAATCACCACACTGACATCCAAAGGGGCTGTACCAGCTTGCATTCTCACCAGCAATGCAGAAATGTTCCTTTTCCCCACAACCTCTCCAGTTTAAGTTGTCATCAGTGTTTTTTATCTTGGCCATTCTTACAGGTGTAAGATGGAATCTCAGAGTTGTTTTGATTTGCATTTCTCTGATGACTAAGGATGTTGAACATTTCCTTAAGTGTCTTTCAACCATTTTAGATTCCTCTGTTGAGAGTTCTCTGTTTAGGTTGTACTCCATTTTTTACTGGATTATGTAATCTTTTGATGACCATTTTCTTGAGTTCTTTGTATGTTTGGGAGATCAGTCCTCTGTCTGATGTGGGGTTGGTGAAGATCTTTTCCCATTCTGTAGGCTGCCATTTTGTCTTGTTGACTGTGTCCTTTGCTTTACAGAAGCTTTTCAGTTTCAGGAGGTCCCATTTATTAATTGTTTCTCTCAGTGTCTGTGCTGTTGGGGTTATATTTAGAAAGTGGTTCCCTGTGTCAATGCGTTCAAGTGTTCCCACTTTCTCTTCTCTAAAGTTCAGTGCGGCTGGCTTTATGTTGAGGTCTTTGATCCATTTGGACTTGAGTTTTGTGCATGGTGATAGATATGGGTCTATTTTCATTCTTCTACATGTTGATATCCAGTTATGCCAGCACCATTTGTTAAATATGCTTTCTTTTTTCCATTTGACATGTTTTGCTTCTTTGTCAAAAATCAGGTGTGCAAAGGTGTGTGGATTAATATGTGGATCTTCTATTCGGTTCCATTGGTCCTCCTGTCTGTTTTTCTGCCAATACCAGGCTGTTTTCAGTACTGTAGCTCTGTAGTGGAGTTTGAAGTCAGGTATTGTGATGCCTCCAGAAGTTCTTTTATTGTACAGGATTGTTTTGGCTATCCTGGGTTGTTTGTTTGTTTGCTTGTCCTTCTATATGGAGTTGAGTACTGTTCTTTTGAGGTCTGTGAAGAATTTTGCTGGGATTTTTATGGGAATTGTGTTGAATCGGTAAATTGCTTTTGGTAAGATTGCCATTTTCACTATGTTAATTCTGCCTACACAAGAGTATGGGAGATCGTTCTAGTTTCTGGTGTCTTCAATTTTTTTCTTCAAAGATTTAAACTTTTTGTCATACAGGTCTTCCACTTGTTTGGTTAGAGTTACTTTGAGATATTTTATGCTATTTGTGGCTATTGTGAAGGGTGTTGTTTCTCTAATTTCTTTCTCAACCCATTTATCATCTATTTTACAGGAGAGCTACTGATTTTTTTGACTTAATCTTGTATCCTGCTACATTACTGAAAATGTTTATGAGTTGTAGAAGTTTGTTGGTAGAATTTTGGGGGTCGCTAATGTAAATTATCATATCATATGGAGAGAGTGGACAACCTTGTCTTGTTCCTATTTCAGTGGGATTGCTGGGAGTTTCTCTCTATTTAGTTTGATGTTGCCTGTTGGCTTGTTGTATATTCCCTTTATTATTTTAGGTATGTTCCTTGTAGTCCTGCTCTCTCCAAGACCTTTGCCATGAAGGAATGTTGTAATTTGTCGAAAGATTTTCAGCATCTAATAAGATAATCATGTGGTTTTATTTTTCAGTTTGTTTATGTGGTGGATCACATTGACAGATTTTTGTATGTTGAACCATCCCTGCATCTCTAGAATGAAGCCTACTTGATCACTGTGGATGGTGGTTCTGATACATTCTTGGATTCAATTTGCCAATATTTTATTGATTATTTTTGCATCAATGTTCATGAGTGAGATTAGTCTGTAATTCTCTTTCTTAGTAATATCTTTATGTAGTTTGGATATCAGGGTAATTGTAGCTTCATAAAAACAGTTTGGCAATGTTTCTTCTGTTTTTATTGTGTGGAACAATTTTCAGATTATTGGTATTAGTTCTTCTTTGAAAGTCTTGTAGAATTCTGAGCTGAAACCATCTGGTCCTGGGCTTTTTTGATTGGGAGACTTTTGATGACTGTTTCTATTTCTTCAACAGTTATAGGTCTATTTAATTTGCTCATTGTTCTTGATTTAATTTTGGTAAGTGATATTTATCCAGAAAGTTGTTAATTTCCTTTAAGTTTTCCAATTTTGTGGAGTACAGGTTTCTTAAATAAGACCTGATAATTCTCTGGATTTCCTCCATGTCTGTTATGTCCCACTTTTCTTTTTTTTTTTTTTTTTTTTTTTTTTTTTTTTTTTTTTTTTGCTTTTTCGAGACAGGGTTTCTCTGTGGTTTTGGAGCCTGTCCTGGAACTAGCTCTTGTAGACCAGGCTGGTCTCGAACTCACAGAGATCCGCCTGCCTCTGCCTCCCGAGTGCTGGGATTAAAGGCGTGCGCCACCACGGCCCGGCCATGTCCCACTTTTCATTTCTGATTTTTTAAATTTGGATTCTCTCTCTATTTCTCTCTCTCTCTCTCTCTCTCTCTCTCTCTCTCTCTCTCTCTCTGCCTTTTGGTTAGTTTGGATAAAGGTTTGTCAATTTTGTTGATTTTTCTCAAAGAACCAACTCTTTGTCTCATTGATTCTTTGTATTATTTTCTTTGTTTCTATTTTGTTGACTTCAGCTCTCAATTTGATTATTTCCTGCCTTCTAGTTCTCTTGGGTGAGTTTTCTTCTTTTTATTCTAAAGTTTTGAAGTGTTCTGTTAATTCACTAGTGTGGGATTTTCCAAGCTTCTTTAAATAGGCATTTAGTTCTATGAACTTTCCTCTTAACACTGTTTTCAATGTGTCCCATAAATTTGGGTATGCTGTGTGGTCAATTTCATTGAGTTTTAGGAAGTCTTTAATTTCTCCCTTTCTTTCTTTCTTGACCCATTGATGATTCAGGTGAACATTGTTTAATTCCATGTATTTGTAGGTTTTCTGGAATTAGTGTTGCTGTTGAATTCTAGTTTTAGGTCATGGTGATCTGATAAGATACATTGGGTTATTCCAATTTTTTTGTATTTGTTGAGGTTTGTTTTGTTACTGAGTATGTGGTCAATTATTGAGAAGGTTCCATGAGGTGCTGAGAAGAATGTATATTCTTTTCTGTTTAGATAGAATATTCTATAGATGTCTGTTAAGTTTATTTGAGACATAACATAACATCTGTTAGTTCTCTCATTTCTCTGTTTATTTTTTGTCT